GGTAACAAACGATATCGTCACCAAGAGCCGCCTGGGTTCAGCCGTGGTGAACTTATCGCTCGGTGGACCAGCCTCCTCATCCATGGATAACGCTGTCAACGCATTGGCGAACCGAGGTATATTGCCTGTCGTCGCTGCAGGAAACGAAAACCAGCCGGCCGCAAATGTCTCGCCAGCTCGTGCTGCCAATGCACTGTGCGTAGGGAGCGTTCAATCGAATGATGCTCGATCTTCCACATCGAATTATGGGTCGGCCGTAGACATCTGGGCTCCAGGTGGTGATATCATATCTACTTGGCATACCTCAAATACGGCAACGATGACAGCGAGTGGTACCTCGGCGTCTGCACCTTTCGTGGCTGGTCTGGTGTCGTATCTGCGCGGTCTCGAAGGGCAATCGATCGGTCCGGCCGCGAGGGCAAGAGTTTTGTCATTGGCTACTGTAAGTGACTCTGTACCGACTGCATGTGAGACGTACACTGACATCGCAAACCTAAACTTAGCCAAATCGCCTTACAGATGTAGCAGGCGCACCAAACCTATTGGCTTACAATGGAAGAGCTTGAAGGCGATGGTCGCAATCGGCTCGTATTTCGTTGTTATATAGCAACACAGCCTCTATTCAGCTTGATCCATCTTTGACGTTATATCAGCGATGAAGGCTGTGTTCAATGGTGCCTAAGACGTGATACGACGGTCGGTGCGATGTGTATCCTGATCCACAGGTGTTGCGACACGCGTTACCCAGGTACTAACGGAACTTTGGAAGTGCTTGAGGTGTCTCAAACATGAGGAGTTAATCGCCAAGATCCATGGAAACAAAACAAGTATCTGCTCGGAGTAGTTGAAGTCGTAGTCGCGTCCGACGACGAAAAGTGTTTGCGGCTGACAGTGTTCTCACGGAAGGGACAAGCCATCCGGAATAGGCTAAGACTGAATTAGTCATCCGGTGAGTGGGGCCCATTAGGGTTCGCGATTTCGATGACGTAGGACACCCTCCTGTTCACCCCAACCTCACCACAGATACCACTAGCAGGCCATCTACACCTCTCCAAAATGCCGTTAATGCGCTCCGGAGTCCGAATTACAACTCTGGATATGATGAGGCGCTGGCAGTTTCATGCGTACCATGACTTCACTTGATCATCATTAACAAATCTTACAATGGCATCTTCCAACGCAGTTGCTTCACCAACGGCAGGCACCTTGATCTCTACGAAGCTGAGGTACCTGCTTTCCAGTAGCAACGCGACCTTAGCAGTCTGTTATAAATCTTCATTGCGACGGAAGCAACACCAAATTCTCAAGATGCATGGGCGGGTAAGAAAAAACCGTCTGAAGATGACAACGGTATACAGGAACCTACGAATATGACTTCACTTGCTGGAAGTGGCAGTCGCGTCTCATGCTTATCACCATTGCTCAGATAGATCCATTCGACAATCACTACCCAAGAGCTTCAAAGCAACTGCGACCCTACCGCCAACTCGGGACCTGTGGCACGCGATGTGTACACATTCGAGACCACATTCACGGCGATCGGCCCGCCATCAACCCTATCGTTACCCCTGGCCTACGGCCTATCGCAATGGTCAAAATTTTGCTTCCGAGTTGCGGATTAAGAGGGCTGGTCAAATCTTTGCTCTCACCTCAGGTCACGACAAGCGATCACGCCGAAACTTCGGCTCCACGATACGTCTGCGCGCGCAAGAAACACCAAAGTGGAAGAAAGGGACGAACATGCGTTTACCGAGTCAGCGGCGAGCGTACAGGCAACGGCGGACGCAAAGTCAGGCTATACACGAATGTGGAAGGTGTCGATCTCGACGACGACGAGCGGCGGAGTTTCGCTGGCATTCAGCGCACTATGCGCTACACCAAGAGCCGTAGCCCGAGACAGGAGACGCATCGATCTCCACCGATAGCAGATGCCGCGGGGAAAAGGCGACCGAAGGCTAAGAAGCTGGCTGTCAAGGCTCACGATGCAGGCTCTGATAGTCGTGCTGAAGGCAATAGGATTTTGCCCTCACGAGCCAGACTCTTGAGTGCAAGCTCGGACGAAGTGTGGGATGTGCCCAGACATCTCAGATTTGGGGACAATGGGAAGCATATATTCTGCAAGTCGCATAATGGCTCACGCAGCAGGACACGCGATGTCAATCCCCGTGAAGGCTCACGAATCCACAGACAAAAAGAAGCAGGCCGCTTTGGTGAGCCGACTTCGCAAGCCGAAGAACGCGTGCGAAGACGCCGAGACCATCATTGCTCAGGCGCGCTGCCGATCCCAGAGCATCGATCAAACAGACCATCCCTAGATTCAGCACCGATACTTCCTTCAAGAGAATTTCGAACAGCCGCAGCGAACAATACCATCAAGCTTGTCATCAATCCAGAAGAATATACATCCAAATTTGAAGAACATAAGTCACCGGACGGAGAGCAGAACGCATTTGGGGTATCAGAGGCGCCTGGAAGCCCTTTCAGGCAACCCGGACTGACGCCACAGGAGTCGTCCGACTTAGTCTTCGGGGCAAGCTCTCAAGTCGAAACGCGGAGACGGCTGCGAGCGGGTCGGGCAGACGATCATATTACGCCAGACGTGCATGAGTCCGCATCCCAGCTCGTACTCGATCCTTCGCTAGGCAAAATCTAGTAAAACGCGAACGCATACAGCCTGTCTCGAAACCCACCTGCATTAGACCTTGGACACACTGTGCTCATCCATGGTGAACATGACGTTCTTACAAGATCGCGAGCACCGGCTCTCATCAGTCCTTCAAGAACAGTGTTGTCAACACACGGCGCCACGCGGGCAACAATGCCACGGTTTCTTCCAGAACAATCCCTACAACCAGTCACTTCAGGTATACCTGACTTAGTCCATTCTCAAGCCGGTCCACCATTCGATCAGTACCTATCAACTGCCACACCGGGTACCCCACCATATACGCCCGGAAAGGCGACATGATTCGGAAATGATACAGCAGCGTGGTATGGCATATGAAGGTCAGCCCAGCCGTCAATCTAAGTGTCTGACAGGAACTCTGAATGGAAAACAACAATTGGGGTATTATTAAACGCCGTTTACCGAAGGCAAGATATTAGCCAATCCAATTAATCCACGTCCTCGATCAAGTCATCAAATCCGCTGTTCGTTACGGGTACTGCCTCATTTCCTCCGTCCAACAGATCACTTCCGCTATGTTGGCTGATATCGTCGTCCAAATCCTGATATTCCTACTTAGCATCAGTTTCGGTGTCGACAGCGTTCACGTCTCCTGTGCGACCAGGGTTACGATGATCTTCGCCCCCATGACGGCCGGGGAGTCCGCGTCCTCGATGTCGGGATAGATGTTATTTACCAGAAATTGTCCGACCTGCCATGACTACGACTTTGTTAGCTATCAACACTCCCATTTGACTGGAGACACGCGACGTACCAGAAGCCCGCCCTCCACATAATGTCTCCACCTCTCTGAAGACCCCAGATATACCAAGATCTCCCATGGCAGTTCCTCGCTATCGAACTCCCAAAACGTCATGTACTGGTACACTGACGCATTGTCCACTTGTTTGTACTCCTCGTCCTGGATGAGCGAAGCGTGCTCGAGCTTGAAGATGCGTGTGCGGAGTAGGCCAGGACTTTCGAGCATACCGGGCGTAAACTCTTCTCCGAACCACTTTACGAATTCGTCGTGAACCTCCGGGGCGGGCTGCCAAAGAACTACGACCCACATCTGGACATCGCGGGGATCTGACGCAGGGTGTTAGCCTCCATGGTGCATCCTTGTATCGAGATCTTGAGGACGACATACCTCCGCGCCACTCTTCCCCAAACCAGTTCTTATGCTCTGTGTAGAACCGTGTGTCTACCTTCGCCTCATTCGGAAGTTTGTCCAGCGCAGGGCATATCCGCGCATCCAGGTCTTGCGCGCTTGGTTGTTTTGGTAGGTCGTAAATGGTCATGAACCTGCCATCAATCCCAGGTACTTCCTGGAATGGGCTGTCTTCCACTTGCTCTGCATGTCTGGCGGTGGACCTGATCTTCACCAGGGCGTCGGGTATATGCGTGGTTTCGTACCAGTGATAGGCATCGTTAGCATCCTCGCCTAACTCCGCCCAGGCACAAGCAATTCTTGACATGATTTCTTTTTGCGAGAGTTGGTAATTCGGTTCCGCGGACGTGGTCAAGAAGGATGAATACAGAAAGGTAGGTGAAATTTGACAGAGCAAGAGAGCAAGGTAACACAGCGGTCAGCATAAGGAGTACGCGCAAACAGAGCACACCTGGACTGTGCCACGAAAGTTTTGCCCTGCATCCCTGAACCATGTGCTCTTCAGCAAGGGTTACTCCGTCGGGGCAAGTAAAGCTGTAAGAATTTCCCCAATCAGTATGGTGTCGTGGCGGCCCGTATCCGCCTGACTGCGGCCATGAGGGTGTGTCCGCAGTACCGCCGGGGAAGTTCGCATTGCCGAAAGCTAATTTCGCGACTACTGCCAATAGTCACGATCAGTGTAGTTCGCGAGCTGATCTCAATCAATGCGAGGCAGACTACAACTTTAAAATGATGATGCGCTGGTATCAGTCGGAGGCAGAGGTAGGTCGAGTCATGTGAATCACCGATGCGCCGGGAGACGGACATGGGTGATACGCAGGAAGACCGAACGGGTGATCACACGGCCGGAAGGAGAAGCGCGCAGACAGGAATCAGGTAAGTTAGCCAGCTGATTAGCATGTATTGGCTCGCTAAAAGTAGATAATGCTTTCGATTTGAGCTCTGCAGGATCGCTTAGACAGCATGAACGCCACGTAGTAAACAAGACATGGCAAGACTGCGCCGTAACCCGAAACCTCCTCGTGCGCGTTTCCCACGTGGCGCCCCAGACAGTGCAACATGACGCAAGAGTTCGCAGCTAATACATGATATCCCCCTCTCGCAGCGGAACCGTCTTCCCTCCCAATCAGGCCTGTCTTGAGCCCATTACCTCCATCATTTCTTTCACAACAAGACACCGTTCCCAATATCGATGTGCATCTTCTTCTCATGCACATCCCTCTTGTCCCTTCGCGGAAAACCATGAATCGCCCGTTCGCAGCCCAGGGCGCGGCATAGGAATCGACGGTCGTCCAGATGGGATCCTCGGTAGTGGCGTCGGAGGTCGGGCATGCGTGAGTACTTCTTGTCGCAGCCGGTATGGGTGCAGATGTACACTCTCTTGATCTCGACTCGAAACGGGATGTCGCCAACGTGAATAGTAGGAGTTATGCTCTTCCGGAACTCCGGGTGGCTTACATCACGACCTACCGTAGTGTGCCTGGACCCGGAGTATGTGGCCTTGCGAATCAGATCCGGGTACTCTGGCATAGCCGGCTCCACGTTCCAATTCTCTTCCATTTCCTGGCCATATTGAACATTCGGGATGAGCGCGTATCCGTCAGGCGCATCTCTCTTCGACTCTAAGCCGCCGAAGGGTTTGCTGATTGGTCTCGGTCCGTTGTTGGCGTCCGCAATGGCATCGCCGAGCCATACAGCAGAGTCTTCAAGGGTATCTTCTCCCCAGGCGACAGTTTGATGCGACCGGAAATGTGACCTGTAAAACCTAGATAGGGGCATGATCGTGACTTCGGTGGCTCACAGGCAAGAGTACGGTGGGGGGTGGGCATGCCAGACGCGAGATGCCTCGAGCGTAGGCGGGGTTCGCAACGAGACGGATAAAAACAAAGGAGATAAGAAGGCAAGTTATTCACCTAGGTATGCACATGTCAGTGAAGATGTCACAGTACTAAAAGTGTTACATGAAGAAGCCCTCAAGGCAGGGAACATAAGAAAGAGGGCAAGGGCATTTCAAGGCCGAAATAGTCAGAGAGACATGCCCCCATCCATATCTGTCAGTCTGTAATAGAAGATAATCGTGGCTCGGAACGACATACGATGCAGAGTTCTCATCGTTTTCCAGATTCATTAGGCAGTCGTTAAGCAAACTGGTAGTCGTTGCGATGTGTCCTGATATCGCTCCATGATCTACCGTCTCGTCACACGGTTCCGAAGACGCTGTAAGCCAGTATTCGTCGAACACCTCAGGTCGCATGTCTGAGTGAGACTCGGTTTCGAATTGATCAGTGGTATGTAAGCTGGGCGTCAAGACATCTCGATCGAACAGAAACTCGTCGATGTATGGGTGCGATGACATGTTGGGATGATGATTGTCGAGCGTGCTGAAGAAAGAGGAATAAGGGAACAACGAACTGGATAACGCAATCTTAAAGATGGGTAGCGGAATATATACTGTCTGAAGTGGTGATACAACAGCTGCGCTGCCCCTTCATGCACGCGCCCCTTCGGGTGAGGGGCGCCACGCCACGTACAGCGTTAGCTCACAAGCCACCTACTTCCGCAGCCAACCTATCATACTCAGTCGGCATTGCACAGATGTATGAGACTTTTGGGGGGAACAACCGACTGCAACAAGTGTTTCTTTTGCGCTGCACGGCTCGTGCTATGCGGTTAACTAAGTCGCAGTGGCCTGGTGCAGGTGTGGTTTGGGATGTCGCAACCACAAAGTGGGGCTGCGCAGTTTGCCTCATCGGAAGGCAGGCGCACCTAGCACCATTTCCCTCGTCCTGATCTCATTCACTCGAGACCACCCCATCAACGCCCGCTGACCTGTGGCCTCACGCCACGCTTGAGCTCTATCAAGAAAGCGCGATTTACGACATATCAGGACGCGTGTCTATGGGACATTCTCAGGGACCCCCAGCAGCCCTGGAGGCCTGCTCTATGCGCAGATTTTCTCGACCTGTGCCGTATACTTCGCTCTCCGCGGCGACACTTGAGCCACGACTCGCCCCAGGTACACCAAGGGGCGCGTCTTTCAGATCCCTACGGAGTAAGGACCGTGTCAGCAACTTCTTTACCGCGGAACAACTCACCTACGATGCGTCGTCGTGAACTCATCTAGTATATTCGGTCGCGCTTCGATGCTCAAAGTATATGTTTGTTCCTTGATCCGAGTAGGTCAGACTCTGTTATTTTATAGGCATCTTCGACCCTTCCATGTCACTTCGTTGTCCTGGTCCAGCATGTGTACGCGCTTGCTTCTAACGCGCGTCTCGACCTAGCGCGCCTTATTATCCGATGCGCAACCTCCAACATCGGTAGGCAATACCTTCTATATTCGTTCTGTTCTATCAATTTGTTTTTCGGCCGAACTTGGCAGTTCAATGAATCTTCCGAAAATGTCGCAGTAAGCGTCACGCGTGGCTACCAATCAGTTCACCACGGTACCTGCCCAGAACGAGTGATGGCTTTCACGATTGCCCTATCGAACTGACCCTTTGCGTTCGACTCACGCCTGACCCATTGTATCGGTAACAAGGATGCTAGTGAACTACATTTCCTTTGTTCCACAATGTTGGAATTGGTGGAGAAGCGGGAAAGACCAAGGGCGCTCCTTAAACTAACAACGGCGACAAGTTGGTGAGGCGCGCAATTCACGCATTTTCACGGCGATTTACCAGTATCTGAAGTCCTATAAGATCAAAGTCTACAGTATGGAATTCCGTACCTCATCTGTTGTTCATCGGATCGAATCACAACAATGTTGCGCAACACTCTTTCAACAGCGACCGCCCTAGCGGCCTGTGTGGCTACCGCTCAGGCTTCTTTGAACATGTCGGATACATCTTTCAAGCTTTTCAAGTCTTCGTTAAGTCAGCTTGCGGAAGTTTACTTGCCAGGCTCAGAAGAATTTGCCAATGCCACTGTACGATGGGGCGCCGGGCAAACTCCGCACTACGATATGATCGTGAAGGTTGCGACGGAAGAAGATGTTCAAGAGACTGTCAGTAAAATCCTACCATGGTAAACCTTTCTTTAGCTAACCTTAAGCCAGATCCTCTATGCAAATGCCAACGATAAGCCTTTCCACGCCATCTCGGGCGCTCATGCGACGACAACATACCTAAACAACATCACAAACGCCGTTGGAATCTTCATGCGGGGTATGAACGACATCTTCATCGTCGACGATGGCGACACTGCTTTGATACAGGGCGGTATCCTTAACGGCGACGTCATTGACTTCCTAGGGCTCCATGACAAGCAAACAATGACAACGGCTTGTGCCTGCGTCGGCTACGTCTCCCCTATCCTCGGAGGAGGCCATGGCTGGAACCAAGGACGTTACGGCCTAGCATCCGATCAGCTCGTTTCCGCGCGTATGGTCCTAGCCAACGGTACCGCCATCACCGTCAACGAGAGCAGTCCAGACCTGTTCTGGGCGATACGTGGCGCTGGTCACAACTTTGGTCTGGTAACCCAGGCTGAGATCAAGATCTATGACAAGGAGCCAGTTGTCGATGGATGGGCTGTCAGCGGCTACTTCTTCACGCACGACAAGATGGAAGACGTTGTAGCAGTCGCGAACACCTGGATGACGGCTGCTAACAGGTCTGTGAGCTTGGAACACTACATCGTCTTCTCGTTTGATCCCGAGGTGGACCCAGTGAACGTGAGTATATATCCCTTCTAGTACTGCCCAATCACTAACATCACCAGCCCATCGTCATCATCTGGGTCATCTACCAAGGTGCCGATACCGTCCCAGCCCAATACACCGACCCCTTCGTCGCGATGTCCCCCATCAACAACGAATCAGGCATAACCGACCTCGGCGGCGTCAGCAGATTCACCGGCGCCGACAGCGACGGCCCCTCCTGCACCAAAGGCTACACGCGCTCCCTCGTCCCCGTCTCAGCAGACACATATGACGCCCCATCCCTCCGCGAAGTCATAGACATCATGACCACCTTCCCAGCCGAATTCCGCAACTCCGCCGTCCTCCTCGAAAGTTACTCCACCAACCGCGTCGGCGAAATCCCCAGCGACAGCACCGCATACCCCGATCGCGATGGCCAGCTCCTATTTTCCCCATTCATGACCTACGACAAGAACGCTAGTCTTGATGCGCTCGCGTGGAACTACGCGGGTCAGATTCGCGATACGATGATTAACGGGACGAATAAGCCGTATGAGTCTTACATCAACTATGCGAGGGGTGACGAGACGACAGAGCAGTTGTATGGGTATGAGCCGTGGAGGTTGGAGAAGCTGAGGAAGCTGAAGAAGGAGTATGATCCTTTTGGCAAGTTCAACTTCTTTGCTCCGATTTTGGGTGAGGATGGGCAGCCATTGTAGGTTTGAGCTGTGTGGCTGGGGGGATATTTAGCTACGTAGGCTGCCTTCGCTCTCTGTATACAATAATGCATTCATTCGCTTCGCGACTTGCGTTTGTGTCTCGCTTCGAACTGCTTTGTGATGCGTATGCGAGTAGCCGCGCGTAGTCAACCTGCGATCCGCGCTTATTCACATGCTTACTGAGGGCTCAACCCGCCACATCCGCACACTGCAATCTTTCCACACCAATCGCTTGAATGATAGAAGATGACTATGCAGCCTCCCCTTGCGCAAGCGATGTACACATCGCATTTTAGTGTATGCTACGTACCGATAACGGCTGACTTAGACGCCCATGGTGGCTGATACATCTACGACGTGGAACACTAAGGGACACTGGTGGATATATAGACCTGTAGTTTGATGCCTGACAGTATGATGATCCTTTGAGCTCATTCACCAAGCCGTGACGATGTTCAGCCGCCCGTTCGAGTTTACCTCATATGCTGAAGACGACCTGGTCCCACTCGTTGACCCTTTTTTCACATTCAAGACGTACGCGAAAGAGATCAACCCATTCGACGTTTTAACAGGAGCGGTTGCCAATGGTGGAGAGGCGCTCTTCGACGAAGCCATTTCTCCATCTAGCATGTGGTCGGCATCAAGTCGCCCAAGCAGCAGCCCGTCCGCGGCATCAGAGACGACGCAGTTAAATGCAAACAGATCAGCTCGTCGTCCGCTCGCCAAGGCACATACGTTCCCCAAATACAAGGGGGAATCGCGATCGAAAGTCCAGGGCCAAGTAGAAGCGAAACAGACAATACTTGACCTTGTGCCCATCGGAGAAGCGCAGACCTTCAGACTAGAGGGCTCTTTCATATACGCCACAAAGACGCGAAACATCCCGCGATACCAATTGCAACGAGACTTCGACCGCGACGGATTGGTATCAAAGTTGCGTATCCGCGCGGTCCTTCCACACGAGACGCGGTCATGTTCAGTACCAACCACACATACGGCACGCGACCAAGCGATCCCCTACAGTAACAAGGAAACGCTATATAGCATAGATGAATTCGAGATGCGCGGCAAGAAAGCTGGGACACTTCCCGGAAGCATCCAGATGACCTCTGGGGAGTCACTTTGGGGCGGCCAGTGGACGCGTATCTGGCATGTTACTAAATGTAAAGCTCAACATCATGTGTGCGATTACAGAGGTGTATGTGAGCCTGAGAAACATCTTTTGTATTGCGTCAAGAAGGGTGTGTGGGAGGATGCTGAGGGGGTGGCTGTTGCGAGGGAAGAGATTGGGAATGATGCCGCGGATACATGTCTTTCGGGTATGAAAACGAAAGTCGAAGTGAATGGGAAGGACCATTTGTTGGAGATGACGGATGAAATTGAGAAGGACGGGAAGAAACGCGACTTGGTGGTGGCGTGCTGGGTGATGAAGTTGTGGATGGCGGAGGAACTCCGGTGGGAGGGAAATTGAACGCGGGAGAGAGACGCCGAAGAGAATACGAGGCGTCCAGTTTCAGGCCGAAGAATGATTGCAGATCTTTAGGAGTTACCTTGCCTGCTCGGTGAAACATTGCGATCGCCTCGCATGCTTGCAGTAATCTTGATGGGAAGAAATCAAAATGTGTCACGTGAGTAGGTATTGTGAGCTACGCGCGCCCGCACCACGTGTTGACAGCTGTCAGAAGCCCCTGCATAATGCAGTAGTGTAGTAGATACGATTGAAGTCTCTAGTTGTTCTTCCAAAAGCAAGCATCTGCGTCAGCATCGAAGACCGAAAAATGGAGTTGGGCAGGTCAAGCGTCGTGATAGCGCGTCTTCCGGCGCGCCTGCTAGACCGAGCGCCACAGCCAAGGGGTGAGAGCCACCGCCTCATCCATCCATCATTCCCGGGATCATCGCTCAGAGGGGCATTCGCGACTTTGGCGATTGCAACCACAATGACTTGATTATTTTCACTCAAAGACTTTGTCTAATTCAATGCCCTAAAATACCCTCAATTAAACCTCAACTTCCAAGTTTGGCGGTCGAAGCCCTATCGCCGCGATGCCGCTCATCACCCCCTCACGGCTCGCCATCATCATCGTCTCCTTTTCGCTCTTGACTTTCTTCTGGACTTTCGGCCTGCCGCAACAAACGCCCCAGCCGACGATACCCGTTATCGACCACTACGACCACAAGAATGTGCATACCGAGCCGATAATACCGCCGCCCGTCATCGAGACTCCGCACGCGACATCCACGCCGATAGCACACGGAGATCATCCGAAGGAGACAGATGATCACAGATGGGACGATAAGGGAGCGCAAGGTGGAAAGGGAAAGACAACACCGTCCGCGCCTACTAAGACAGGCGTCGCGGAGTATGAGGAAGATGGCGGAAGATGGGAGGATAAAGAAAAGTTGAAGGGTGGTGATAAGCCGAAGAGCGTGTTGGGCTCAAGCGCAATGGCGGCGCCTACAACACTAGCCACCGAGGCGATACCTGCATCGAAGACTCCGATTGCGGCCAAGCCAGACGTTGCGCCTACGAAGCCCGCCGAAGCCGCCGTCTCTACACACGCAGTCGAGAAGTTCTGCAGCGACGCCGATGGAGCGAAAGACGTCATGGTCGTCCTCAAGACATCGAAAGCCGAGATCGAAAAGCTCAACAGCCACCTCAGCAATCTGCTAGCCTGCGTTCCCACCTTTGCCATCTTCAGCGACCATGCCGGCGAGTTCCAAGGGCACAAAGTACACGATGCGCTCGATTCGATAAGCGGCGAGACCAAGTTCAAACACAAAGAATTTCAGGAATACCAGCTCATGCATGCTGATGCAGAGCACAAGCCAGACATGAAGAAGCTGGAGGAGCTGGAAAAGTGGAAGTTCTTGCCCATGGTGTACAAGGCGTACCACATGAACCCCAGTGCCAAGTTCTTTGTCTTCATCGAAGCCGACACGAGTCTGAGCTGGACGAACCTGTTACAATGGCTGAACAGGCTGGACTACCGGATACCGTACTACAGCGGAGCTCCTTACTACATTGCGGGCACACAGGTCGCGCAACGCGGAGCAGGCATCATGATGTCTCAGGGCGCACTACGACGGTACTCCAAATCTTACGATGAGCTCTACACAACCAAGTGGGAACCGGACAACGGCGAGCAATGCTGCGGCGACTTGATGCTAGCGAAGGCGCTTGGCGACGCACATGTGGAATTCTACGCTTCGTGGCCACTTCTCCAGAGTGAGCAGCCAAGTACACTTGATTATACTAGGAAGCATTGGTGTGCTCCTGCCGTGTCCTGGAATCACCTTGGCGGCGACCAACTCACGAGGCAGTGGGATATTGAGAAGAAGTGGACCACCGCTAATGGCTGGAAGAAGCCATATTTGTACCGCGACGCCTATCATGATTCAGTGGAACCGCACATCGAAACGCAAAAGGTGGGCTGGGACAATCTCAGCCAGGATACCAAAATTGTTGCACCAGAAGGACGTCGGCAAAAGCTCAAAGACGACGCTGCGAAGAAAGAGGAGGAGAAGGAGGAGCAAGACGCCGAGAAGAAAGAGAAGGAGAAGGAGGAGCAAGACACCGCCCAGAAAGAGGAAACCCCGAAGGAAGAAGACAAGACCCAGCAAGACGACAAGAAAGAGCCCGCAAAACTCAAACTCGACACCGCCCCACCCCCCGACAACCGCGTCTTCCAAGAAGCCGGCGCCCTCCCCACCTCAAACAGCATCTCCAAACGCGAAGACAAGAAAGACCCCAAGAAAGACGACAAGAAAGGCAAGGACATGAAAGAAGACAAGAAAGAACCGCCAAACTGGGATAAGCTCGCAGAGAAACACCCTGATGCAGCGGACAGCTCCGAGCGCTGCCAGGCCGTTTGCTCAGAAGTAGAAGACTGTCTGCAATGGCGGTATACGGCCAAGGGGGAGGGGGAGTGCCATCTCAGCAAGGTGATTCGCTTGGGTGGGAAGGTGGGGGATGAGGAGTGGACGAGTGGGTGGGAGGTTGAGAGGATTAATGGTATTAAGAAGGAGTGGGCGTGTAAAGAGGTTAAGTGGAGGTTTTATCAGTGAGGGGGATGAGATGGGTTGGATGGGTTGATTCAGGAAAAGAATGGCGTTTTTGGGGTTTGTTTCTGGGAAGTGGGATTGAGATGAGAGCTTTTGTATAGTTTTGAGCTACTCTCTGTTGAAAGCTCCGAAGCTTTGGAGGACGCGAAGTGGTTGTATATACCCTTTTTTGTTAATGTATATGGTTATGGCATGATGTCTTTGAGCTCGAGGAGTTGAGTGAAGGTGGTACCGCACACATAAGGTGGGTCTAACTTTTCACAACCACGGCTGTGTTCTGTCGCTACCACGTCACCCATGGGTAGCTGCCAAACATTTCGTTCGCCATATATATGTCGCCGCGTATGATATTCACTTTTCGCTTTTCTCTATCACGAACGACGTCAAACAGCGTTACTTTCACTCTTCAACAACTACGACTTATCTGTTTATCAACCCACGTTGCATGACTGCTTCTCATTCCTGTCCACAGTCCGACGTCCTCCCCAAAAAAAGGTACAAATAGTTTCTAAAGATACGGAAAGTTCTACTGACAACTTGTTTCTTCTAGAAGTAATCAACAATGCTACTAGCTCGACTCTTCGGTCATTCCCAGATGCGAGCCCCCTACGGACGGTTTCCGCCTCCCAGAGGCTCAATAATCTTTGGATTGGCATGTTGCTGGGGGCAATGGAAGATGGACAGGGCACGGTTGGAGAGAAGGAAAGGAAAGACCACGAGCCTAGTGGGCGGGGTGTAGACGATGCACACGTGGAATTGTCAATCCAGATCAGCGAGCCCACCATCAAATCCTCTTCAAGTCATCAAGATCACCATACAAACGTCATCAGCCTCCCAAGTATACCCCTGGCGCATATGAGCAAAATCATGCACCCCACCGTTCCTGCCTTCCCGCGCTTGACCTGGAATGGCAGGCGCGATACGCCTTCTTGGCTACTGTCATTACCCCGGTTATCTTGATGTCGTCGCCTCAATAGTTACAATCAACACTACTCACGGATTGTATCTCGTGCACTCACCTCCGCATACCATGGAGTCCAACGCCCTCTCTCAACTCAAAACCCTGCTATCCGCCGCCCCAACCCTCCGCGCTCAACTCAGCAACACCGAGCGCCTCCAACTCAGCGGCTTAGCCGAAGCACTTCGGAATGAGCTGGAAAGACCAGATGAAGCTGTCTTCCGGGTGACGTTTAATGAGGTGCGTCTCCTGGGTTGTGGTGGTCTTTCCGGGTTTGCGGGGTTGTGGCTACTGCATCTGGTCGATTAGCGCTAACCACGGACGGAATGCATTCAGCCTGGACATTATCTCGCTATTCGACTCGCTTTGCAATGGGAAGTTTTCGAGGCGCTGGGTGATGTTGGAGAGAAGGGGGTGTCGTGTGAGCAGATTGCTGAGGGCGCGGGGGCGGATGCAAGATTGGTTGGTATGTATACTTCATCGCGAACTTTCGAAGGTCCTCAAATTCGGCACTTAGGGCTATTCGAAAGCTGTGGATATATCTGTCCGATAAGGTGGCACTAACCGAGAACGTACAGCGCGCTTCCTATGCCATCTAGCAGCAAACGGGACAATCCGTGAAGTCGATGTCGATACCTACGCAAGCGCTCGGCTCTCAGCTTCTTTGAGGCAGAAGTCTTTCAAAGATGCTATACACTTCATGTAAGCCTCAGGTCCTACCCAACCATGTATACAAGACCCTCTGTTCATACCACGTTCGCAACAGGTTCGACGACTTCTACAACGTAGGCTGGCGCGTCCCCTCGTTTCTCGACTCAATCTCCCACCGCAACCCATCAGATATCAACAACGGCCCATTCCAGCACGCCCATGGCTTCTCTAACAAGTCGCTGTACACGTATTTCGACGAAGACGCAGCTATGGGAGAGCGCTTCGGCGGCATGATTCAAATGTACAACGCTGGCAAACCTTTCTTTTGGGAGGATGGGTACTACCCGTTCAGAGAGCGGTTAGTGGAAGGTGGACCTGTGTCTGACGAGGAGGTGCTACTTGTTGACATCGGAGGCGGTGATGCGGGCGATCTGGGTCTGTTGAGGAAAGCGCTTGGAGATGATGTCAAAGGTCGACTTGTGCTGCAAGAGTTGAAGCATATTGTTGATAGGAGCGAGCAAGATGGGTTTGAAGCGCATGTGGGGGGTTGGAATGAGGTTCAGCCGATCAAAGGTACGATTTTCGTCGTATCACAATCCTGAGTATACGCCACTAACAGTTCTGAATAGGTGCAAGAGCATATATGCTTCAACATGTTCTCCATGACTTCAGTAGCGAGGACGCATGTCGCCGTATCCTGAGCAACATCGTCCTCGCTATGAAGCCCGGGTACTCCAAGCTTCTCATCAAAGAGCTAGTCATACCCGATCGAAACGCACCATGGGCGTTTACGGCCATGGACGTCAACGTCATGCAATCGCTTTCTGGTCAAGAGCGAACAGAGTCGCAGTTTCGCGAACTTCTGGAGTCGGTGGGACTGAAGATCGAGGGTATTTGGGGTCATGAGAACGCGTTGGATGTGGTTATTGAAGCCTCTCTGCCCAACTAAACCGAAAAAAAAGACCATTCCTCGAAACCGCTGAAAAGTTCATATACCCCAAATGCTCGCGAGAATATCAATCGCTTTTGCTGTCATCTTCATCCCAGACACGAACCATGTTGTTACTCTTTTCGCACTACTTTCAGGGTTGACTCCCGCGGGCCCTTGCGCACAGGTACGAAATAGTCTTTCGCCACCAAGACCTTTTCACGACGCTGTTCGAGCGACAGTAATGAGCCTTCAAGGAACTTTGTCCGGAATCCGTCGCATGATCCGAGTACTGAGGCCCATGATTCCAAATCCTCCTGATCAACAACAGCCGCGTCACCCCAATTACGAATGATAGTAACGTCTATCGCGCGCTCCAGATGTCCCTTGCACCCCCATCTCCTTTTTGAGTCCTGAACTCTCATGAGGAGACGCTGGATGGGGTTGCTGCGGTCCAATTTACTGACGCATTCATACAAGGCTGGTGTGAGTATTGGTCTTTCGGACGGGCGTGAGAAAGCGGCGAAGAGGCGTTTCATAGCGTAGTTTTGGAACGCGGGTACATTCAGCTGTTGACCTAAGGACCAAGCCAGCATCGCGGCCTTGACTGTCCACTCCATGGTGTCTTTTCCGTGAGACTCGCACATGTCCAAGAACGGAATCGTGGTGGAACGGTCAAGGTTCTTGACTGGACCATTCAACTCGGTGTATTTTCCAGTGTAAAGCCATTGTACGAACAAACCAAGCACCTCGGGACAGTTGATTCCGGAAATTACTAGTTCTAGTGCGGTTCCAGATTTGGGCGGGCGGTAACAGGCGGTGTGGTGGTTACCGTAGACAGAGTTCAGCAGATCAAAGGGCACGTAGATGGAACCGAGGCTGGCGTGATTCATTCTTAGGCATATCTTGATAGATCCATTATCTTGTTGTGCGCTGTCAAAAACGGTCAGTGGTGTGGTCTTTGGGGAAGAACGATGTCACTCACGAAGCGACCAATTGCTTTCCTTGCGAACAAGTATCAAGCGAAGGCGGTTCAGTTCCTGTAGCCGACATCTCGGCATGGGTTCTCTTGGGTGGCATGCTGTTGTCTGACTCTGATGTTGATTCGATCGTAGAGGTAAGGTAAGGTGGTGTGTAAGAAGTGGGATAAGAATGAGGTCCTTTAAGTATATAGGCACCCACAGGCTTCTGTCTCTCACCTGCCTGTCGAGCGGTGGCTTCCTGGACAGTGAGATAGCTCAATCTTACCTTGCCACGGGAATATCACCATGCGTACCATGATTGATGGCACTCACCTCGCAGATGGGGTAACCTCACCACAGAGATCATTTCATTGCGTCTTCGGTACTCAGGCAATGCCCGGTTCCGTTGATGGCCACGTTCTCTAAATGCGACACCGACTGACTTGAGCTTCAGGTATGAACTTGACCGGAGAAATCGATTGCGAAGGAGCGAAAGGAATCTACGCTGACAGCAGCGAGAGTTGATGGTCATCATGCGGAAAGCGCATTGTCGGATTCACGAACGACCGCCCAAGCGCCGGGTCTGCAACCGTTGCGCGAACTTCAGATTGAACCGGTAGTACGTTGTGGTGTGCGCATTTCTGGCCGCGGTCATGGTACAGTTCAGCATGAACCAGAACCATGAGCCATGAGGATGGTGATGTAGTCGCAAGGCCTGACCGTCAGATCGCTCTCCCGCCTCGAACGCGCCAAGACCCAGAACACCTGACCGCGCGCCTTCCCATCCATCACCCCATCACCAACACATCCCTCAATCTCTATACCCTGAATCGAATCCAAAAAACAAGCTTCCCTCAACAAACGCATCACCACGTACTCCATTAAATCAACTCCGTCAACCATTGTTTCGAGACCAGCCTCACCGCCAGTAACGCCGGCATCCCAGCCACGCCAGCCCCTCCGGCCATGGACGCGACCCAACCACCCACGCGGCGCACGCACCCCGCCACGTCTGTACAAAAGTGCCTGCATGCCACCTGCAGAATGGACTACGACTTGGCTTGCAGATTTCCTCGCTGATATTATTAACTCAATTCCCCTCTCACACACTATCTCACTTTTCGAGTTCCTTCGTACTACCATTTTACCTATCGCTATCCTTGGTCATTCGATTGCTTCCGGGATACCATCACTTGACTACTGAGTGTTGCTTGGACGATAGCGAGCTTGGACACCACCACGACCGCGTTATACAAAACCATTGATTGTTTGCGCTGAGATTACAGTGCGCATACAATTATTACTCATTCTGCGAAGGACGATTTACTGACTTTACTACAGAACTTATCGCATCGCATTACTACACAACACCAACTACCACCACCACCACCTCCACCTCAACCACTCCGACCAACGAGACCCCCTCGTTCCCCCCACCCACAACCGCAACCATGCAGCGCAACATCGTCATCTTCCTCATCATCCTCATCCTCTTCATCCTGATTGCCGCCATCGCATACCTCATCTACTACCTGCAGACGCGCATGGCTGTCGGCGGCACCGCGTCGTCTGTTTCGGATATGACTGAGAATGTGTAAACGACCACGCACTACACAAACGCAACGCAACGCAACGCAATGATTATACAACAAAAACAGTTCGGAAGGAAGAGACCGACATTTTACGACGACATGATTACATTACAACACAAGACAACATATCACCGAAGATAAGGACGATGTGGTTCGCATTTACACCGGCGTTATAGGCAGTTGCATGGCTATGCGACTTGCGCCTTGGAGTTTATTGTATGCGAGAACGAAGATAATGCGATTGAAGAAGCCATATTAGAATGGCATGGGCCGAATTGGGATACCCGCAACGTTATTACGGAGCTTATTGTTATGTTTGTATATACAATTGCGCATGGAGAGGGATGGAATGGAATGAATCACATACTCAAAGTTACTTTCAACTATGTCTCTTGATTGTCTCGTCTGTGAACTATGTCGACTTGATTTGACTTGAGCCTCTGGTCACAACTTGGGAGAGAGAATTTAGTACAGGAAAAGCGCATGCCAACCACAATGGTGCGTGGACATGGACTTGCAAGGCACGCGATCATGTTCACTGGGCGTTGTAGGTCATATTCTAGGCGTATGTATAAACGTTGTAAATTTTGAACGATGCCAGATACACAATGCGAAACTGGAACCGCTTGAACGAAGCCTTGATACTCCAGTATTCCCTTTCCGTACCTATCCAAAGAAGTTCTTATAATACATTCGGTGCCTATACGCCATACCCAGCAGACACATGTGTACCCTTGTGCAGCTGATCAGGGTCCTCCCCAGCCCCCAAGCGCATCAGAGGATTGGAAGATGAAAACTGCTCCGTGGGTATCAACCGGGACACGGTTGGTGGTTTGCGCAAAGGTGGAGGAGGTGTGATGGGAGATACGGTCGGCGACTGGAGGAACGATAGAAGAGGTGTGATGGGTGACCATGTCGGGGAACCGAAGTTTTTGGGTAGCATCTTCGCGTATGGCATCGCGGGGGCGAAGTCGAATCGAACTTCACCGGAAGGGAATATCTTGATCGGCAATTTCGGTTTCGGGTACTACTCGACTTAAGCGGATTAGTCGTCGTTCATCACTGTGTCGTTGGTGTCGTCACCGTTTAGAGGCTCGTCCACGTTCTCGGTGAAGACTAGGTGGCTTTCGTAGTATTCGAGCATCTGCGCTATGTTAACACTATCTAGGATTTCAAGAGAACATTTGAACGCACCTTTTGTGGACACTTTTGGTAGACGTGCTTGAGAGGGTGCTGTGTCTTTTGCTTATTCGTCCACACCAAGTATGCAAACTTCTCCAGTTGGCCCGTCTTGGGGTCCTTCGTTTGCTCCACCGTGTCGATGTGGTCGACGTCGTGTTCCCATGAGCCTGGTGGTGGGCTCCATTCTACCACTTTCTTCTCTGGCTTGTCTGCCTTGGCGCGCTTCGTGGAGGATGACGGGGTGCCAGACTCGGATTTGATGCCGGCGGTCGATGGTCGTCCCTTCCGCTTCTGGCCCTTGGGTTCTGGTCGGCCTCCGATCTTCTTAAAGTACTCGTTCAGCACATCAATGGCTCCCTCCCTGCGACTGTCAGTCTCAACCTAGTACAGAGCAATGCCGCAACGAACATGTTCTCCTCTGCCTCCCATGTCCGGTCCTTGGGGTCGTCGTAGCCTTCCCATTTCACGTCGAATTGGAGGACGCCCTGGTGTTGTCAGTGTTTGCGCGTGGGAAAGAGGTGGTGTTTGCGCGCACCTTTGTGAATCTGTGACCGTGAATCGCCTCAACGACGTATCTGTCGCATTGTCAGCACGATGCGATCCATGTACATATGGATTTGCGCGTACTCGTCCTCTCCCACCTCACTGTCATCCTCGTCCTCTTCGTCGTCTATGGGATCCTCCTGCACCGGCTGCTTTCCCTTTCCCTTTCTTGGCTGCGCGGGGACGTCTTCGGCGTCCGAGGACCCGTGATCGCTAAGAGCGGCTGCGCGAGTTAGCAGCTGGATATTACGCGTATGGTGATTGTTTGGGTGGGCGGGCGCGACTCACGAGGCATGTCGAAACGCGGTCGCTAGAAATGGAGAATGGATATGACGGAGACGTCAATCTTCGTGGAGCTTGAGGCGATTCGGATAAGCGCGATTGGAAGGCCGCGATGCGCTGGGGATGGGTGTGGTGGCAGCTCGGGGCAGCAAGCGTCAGGGCAGTTCGGAGAGTTGGAGCTGGCGGAAGGCGCGTTCGCGACTCGCGGCCGTGCGCCCTGATGCCAAGCCCTTCTGGGGAAATTTCAAGACCGACATGGCAGCTGTTTGGCTATACCCCACCACCCCTCACTACCAAACATACCCGGGATTCCCTCCTAGTGTGTGTCTGTAGTCTGATACTTCTTCGGAGTCGTGCATTTGTTACTTCGGCGGTCATTTTCACACCGCAAAGATGCGTAAGTGCGGGCAGCAACAGCTCCGAACTCCATACCCTGAGTAGTGAGATACATATGCTAACATTATATAATTACAGAGGTCGACCTTTCCAACGGTATGCGTCCGAATGTGCTACGAATCGCCCGCGAATCAACGACTGACAAGGTGGGGTATAGCGCAGGTGATGAAGGATGAATCGGGCAGGCCATTCATCATTGTCAGAGAGTACGTGGAATGATATGGAAAGGGCTCAAGGCTCAGTAAGAGGCAGCAGCTAATGTCTGGGGCAGTCAAGGCAAGAAGCAGAGGCAACACGGCAACGATGCGGTCAAGTCCCACATCCTCGCGGCCAAGACGGTCGCGAACATCGTCAAGAGCTCTCTGGTACGCAGCACCGCTCTAGTGGAAGGAAGTAGGACATGAACTTATGAAACTAGGGACCCCGAGGACTGGACAAGATCCTGATTTCACCCGACGGAGACATCACAGTCACAAACGACGGCGCCACCATTCTCTCCCAGATGGAAATCTCCAACCACGTCGCGAAGCTACTAGTCGAACTATCCAAATCACAAGACGACGAGATCGGTGACGGAACAACTGGTGTCGTAGTCTTGGCGGGCGCGCTTCTCGAGCAGGCAGCAGACCTTATCGACAAGGGCATCCACCCCATCAGGATAGCAGACGGGTACGACCAGGCTTGCGAGGTTGCCGTGGCCAAGCTCGACGAGGTCAGCGACGAGATCAACTTCTCCAAGGAAAACACCGAAGAGCTGTTCAAGGTCGCAAAGACAAGTTTGGGCAGCAAGATCGTTTCCAAGGCGCACGACCAGTTCGCCAAAATCGCCGTAGATGCTGTGCTTTCGGTCGCAGATCTCGAGCGGAAAGACGTCGATTTCGAGCTCATCAAGGTTGACGGCAAGGTCGGTGGATCGCTCGAAGACACATTACTTGT